TCATGGATTAAATAAATACACATATTTCCAGAGAGATAATTTCAGTTGGATCCGTTGCTGTTTGGGGTGATGTGACTGTGTGTCAGACATGAAGGACAATGGCTGTTAAGTCTTGGGAAGCTGACCATCCAATGGTGTGACTGGAGGTGAAAGATTTGCACCACTCAACATTTTACCCCCGTTTATCCAATTAAGTCGCTATATTCTGCATATTTTGTATTATTATTTTTGCAGTGCATGGCTCCTGACTGTGACTGGTTGTATGCCTCAGTGTGGCTCTGCCTCCCTCACTCGCTCGCTCCCTCTGCTCGCTCGTTCTGTCGGGTGATGCGGACGAGCTCTTATTCCTCCACTTTCCTCCTGTGTGCTCCGTGGATCGTTGCTGCAGCTGACCCTGGAATTATCTGGCATTTGTCAATTTGAACAGGATGAAAACCAGGTTTCACTTCTTATCTGGTCCCTGTGCTTTCTTTCTGTGTCTTCTGTCAGGTGAGTAAGAAGCTGGTAGCATGAAATCTACTTGTTGCTTTAGGGAAATGTAAAAAAAAAGAAAAAGCAATAGATCTAATTATTTTTGAAGGCTACGTCTATTGGGTTATGTAAAATTTAATGCAGTGCATCAAGGAATCATGCATGTGTTCAAATCCTTAATCTTATACAATCAGGATAACAGTAATATGTTGCTGTAGTTGCTGTTCTCTGTAAGAGACATACTGTGTTAAGAATGATGCCAAATGAAATCTCATCATTCAAGTTAGAAAGAAAAGAACTTGAAATTAAAAAATGACAAAAAAGGTTGTGAAACTGTCAAATTTAGAGTTCTACTTTGGGTGGTAAATGGTAAAGCAGAAAAAAATAGATCACAGTTAAACTGTATAATCATTTAAATATGCAGTGAGATTCCCATGGCTGACATTGTGCTCCTGTCCAGGAGGCACATGTTCAGATGCAGAGCATAAGCTCTTCTCTGGGATATTTTCCAACTACAACCAGTATATACGGCCGGTGGAAAATGTATCTGATCCAGTCATTGTGCAGTTTGAGGTGTCCATGTCACAGCTGGTCAAAGTGGTAAGTAGCAAGAAAATGTTTTTCCTCAGTGTCGGAGCTGATGCCCAGAGTGTTTGTGATTTATGGGGCAGCTATTTCACCTCTATAAAACAAATATCACTCTGCTTAATAAACATGACCTTAGATTACTCTCGCCTATAAAGAGTAGAAATTGTAGAAGATCTGTGTGTATACAAGGCTTAAAACTTGTGTTTTTACATCTCAAAGATATAGTTTGTGTGCTGCTTTGCAGACTTTTACTGAAACAAAATTTAGGGCAAGGTGGTAATTTAGACACTGTATCATAAGCTTGAGATACCCTCTCACGTTACACAGTAGCTCCTGGGACCTAGATGAAAGGGCGGACAATTGGGCTGTTTTTCTGGCCAAGACAAGATGGGAAATGTCAGCTGTCTGAGTACCTCTCAGGCACCCCCTATCACTCAGTCACTGCCACTTCAGATGGGCACTCCTAGATTTCTCTGCTAGAGTTTGTTGACTGCAGACTGCCGTTCCAGACAGACGACTGTGTCACTTGACGCAGACAGGTTGAGCGCAGGTGGTGATAATAAGCATAGCAAAGGACTGTTTGGCAAGCAATACAGCTTCATTCACACAATAAATTGTTTGGAAATACAGAATGTACTATTTATTTGCTTTTTTAAGGAATATGTTTTTTTTAGTGTTTGCCTCTTTTTTCTTTTATTGTTACCCTTATTGCACCATTGCTCTCTTTTAACCCTTTATGTCAAACAATACTTTGGTGCTATAATGGTCTAACAGAAAGAAAATGCCGGTCAAAAATAGGTAACATTATTTCACTGTGTATAAACTAGTAACCATGAGGTGACACCTTATGCATCTTCTTTTGCCTCTGTGCAAACAAGGTGTTTTTATTTTTTCAAAGGATCTAAATAAATATTAAAGATCTGTCTGACCAGACAATGATGATATGGAGAGAGAGATATTTTGTTACATGATCCTTAACTCATTTAAAGTAGCAAGCCAAGCTAGAGTGCTGATGGATGACTGTTATTCCCTCTGCACACCTGGTGCTCCAAACTCAGAAGCATTTGGTTCACCTTCAACAACTCCAACATGGCTATATGAGCTAATTTAGAGCATCAATACCTTATGGGCTGGGCAAACTAACATTATCTCACAATCAGGGATCAAACCACATGATCACTTGGTAATGGCAATGTGCATTTTGGTCTCAGAGGCTGTTCTGCTAAATATAGCAGATGTAGTATATGATCTACAGCCAACATTCAGTTCTGCATCCTTGTTAAAACAAAATCTGCAAATATTAATTTAATCATCTGATTTTGACTACAAAAAATTATTTTGCGTCTTTTAGGATTTTGAGTGATTTAATTATGAACCACAGAGTGTGTGTCTTATCTATCCAAGTGACATGAAATAACTGTTCTCCCAAAGATATTCAGAAGAGGTTAAACTAAAGCCTTCTGTGAACCATTGAATCTAAGAGCTATTCTGGATACAAGATGGTCACATGAATGGTTAATGTTTGCGCTCAGTCATGAGATTGGTTCATTCACGGTCTAAGTCACACAGAAATCTGACCCTCAGTTGTTTTGTCTCCCATCTTTAGTCCCTCTGCTCCAGCTGTATCACTGAATTGCTAGTAAAAAAAAAAAAAAAAGTTAAAGGCTGCGACCTACAAGCCCCAGCTGTCACGTGTATTATGCTCCAGGCATGCGGGACTCAGGTGCAGATCTCTGAAACCTTTTGCGCTGATGCTACAGAAGCACAGACAAAAATCTCAGCAGTGAATTGGATGATTGCCTGTGACAGTTATTATTACTGTTTTAACTTTATTAATAACATGTACTTAGTTTTCTCTGCTTCAGTGTCCTCATTATCTATTATCTTCTACCCTCTTCTCAGGATGAAGTCAATCAGATCATGGAGACCAATCTGTGGCTGAGACATGTAAGTTTATTGTTCAAGACTGTGCAAACAGACCTTGAGCAAGGACATCGAGTCTAGATCCAACCTTCTGTCATGCGTGATTCTTTGGAGCTAGACTGACAGGTTGAATTATTCATAGGAGGAAGCTTTTTAAACACATTGATCCGTGTGATCATATTTTCTTTCAAAAAAAATCAAATAAACTGAATGCACTTACATTTCATAACCAATTTGCATTTTAAAAAAATAATTTGACAGTAGTTAAGAAATCTAGAATATCCGAATATGGAATATTCATCCATTATGGGTTCGTACAGTTAAAGTGAATCTGGAAGAGAAAGTTCAGTGATTATCCGCTATTTTTCTTTTTTTTGCAATGCTGCATAGTGCAATGAACTAGTAATGAGTCAGATGAGGTAGGGCGGGTCTCCTGTTCCAATTTTACATGTACTGAGCAAGCACACATCTGTGACAGAGCCAGTCTTCTACTAAATGTTGAGCTTTAATTGTTCTTAGGAGTTCAGGGCTGGAGCATTGCTTCTCTTATGTTAATCTCATCTGTTGTTTTTAGTATATCTCTGGGAAATACTCATCAGGGGCGAGACACATTTCTCCTGCTCTCCATCCCATCTTGCAACACACTCTGGATACATGCTGTTTTGTAATTAAGTCAAATTTTTTACAGCTCTCTGGGGTTGCTTTGATGTACTGGCTTCATGAGCCTCATGAGGATCACTGGCCGTCCTGATGAACAGTGTTCAAAAGATCCATAAAACACGCTATAAAGTGTGATTCAAGTCACACATGTACTATATATCCTTGTGTTTATGTGCTACCTTTGGAGATAATGACATTATTTCTTTATTTTATGTGGAGCATTTTACAAGCAAATGCATATAAAAACTGACAAGAGATAATTACCAGGAGGAAGCATTTTCGGACTCATTATATTAACTTTTTTTAACTTTTCAGCACGCACCTCCATGGCTAACACTGTGGTTTTTCACTATAGTTTATCACAAAGATAGGCTATAATACTTATTATGATACATGCTGGCTTACTGACATTTCCATTCATGCCAAAATCCTACTGTGACACGACTATAGACTAGTTCTTTTGATATACCGCCAACTGTTGCTTTGTATTAGTTGTTTCTTTAACATACCGATGTTTTTGTAATTAATATGTTCTAGCGATTAAATATGTTTAAAAACATTTTGAATGAAAAGGGTGGAAGGTAATTATTGAACTGTCACATTCTGTTTCAAGCTTTAATCTAACCAATCAGATCTCCAGAAAACTGATTTAAAACCACTTTACACATGCATCAAATTGACTCTGAAACTCATACCTGTTAATTCTCAGACTTTTTTTTATGTAAAAGAAATTTTTCTGCTTTGTTTCTCAGATCTGGAATGACTATAAACTTAAATGGAACCCAAAAGATTTCGGAGGCGTCGAGTTTATCCGAGTGCCGTCCAACAGGATTTGGAAGCCAGACATTGTGCTGTACAACAAGTGAGCATAATAACAAAAACCTGGCACAGAGTCTTCATTGATTGTTTATTGCTGCAAAGGATGTCTGTACAGTAACAAAATGTTATCGATCTACATTGTTCATTCAGCATGGGTCATTTCTTCTTTTGAAGATTCTTAGGGAAGCTATACATAACATCACATGGTGCATTTACTGAAACCCCAGGGCATCTTTTTAATTGATATTTTCATAACTCAATAGTTGCTTATATCTATCTGGTTAGTATTCAGTGGCTCAGTTGTCTTTTACTGTCCTTCCTTTCAATGTTCCATTCTCACTCTTCTTTTGTCTTTTTCTACAGCGCAGTTGGAGATTTCCAGGTTGATGACAAAACAAAGGCCCTGCTTCGCTACAATGGCGATGTCACCTGGATCCCTCCAGCTATCTTCAAGAGCTCCTGCAAGATTGATGTCACATATTTCCCATTTGATTACCAAAACTGCACAATGAAATTTGGTTCATGGACCTATGACAAAGCCAAGATCGACTTGGTGCTGATTGGCTCAACTATTAACCTCAAGGACTTCTGGGAGACAGGCGAGTGGATGATCATTGATGCACCTGGTTACAAACACGATATTAAGTACAACTGCTGCGAGGAGATCTACACTGATATCACATACTCTTTGTACATCCGTCGTCTCCCTCTTTTCTATACAATCAATATGATCATCCCATGCCTCCTCATCTCCTTCCTCACAGTGCTCGTCTTCTACTTGCCCTCTGACTGTGGTGAGAAAGTAACACTGTGCATCTCTGTCCTGCTGTCTTTGACCGTCTTCCTCCTCGTCATCACAGAGACCATCCCTTCCACCTCACTAGTGATACCCTTGATTGGCGAGTACCTCCTCTTCACCATGATTTTTGTCACTCTCTCTATTGTCATTACTGTTTTTGTGTTGAACGTCCACTACCGCACCCCGAAGACACATACAATGCCCTGCTGGGTAAAGCGTGTGTTTCTTGAACTGCTGCCCAGGGTGATGTTCATGACCAGGCCAGAGAGAGATCCTGAGAAGGTGACTGTGGCTGGCAGTGTTCAGACGATGCATTCGAAATCCTGCGCCATTCATTCATTAGGTACTCTACAAAAGCAGCACAAACCTCAGGCCCTTGCCAACAGCTTGGTGTCAAGTTTAACAAACCGGCAAAGACTTTTTAATAACACAGAGCTTTCCAATCTCAATAACTTGGGTGGAGACTCGATCAAATGTCCTAGCTCTGGGTTCTTGTGCTGTGAGGGCCGCTGCAACTGCTGCTGGCAGAAGAGAACCGGCAAGTTGCCTGCAGATTCTGGAGGAGGGAGTGGAGGACTGAGCAGCCTAGGACCATTGAGTGGAGGCAGTGCTGTGGGTGTTGGAATGGGGAGTCAATGCTCCAGCTCAGAGTCTTTGGATGGAGGAATAATGCCTCTTCTGTGTCTTTCTCCTGAGGTCAGGGAAGCTATTGAGAGTGTCAAATACATAGCAGAAAATATGAGACTACAGAATGAAGCAAAGGAGGTGAGTACTCAAAAAAGCAAGGCTAAAACCATTTAATGTCATACAGCTTTCAAATAAAGAATTACAATATTGCTGTGACATTAAACATGTTTTTGTCTTGATCCTCTCATAGGTTCAAGATGACTGGAAATATGTTGCCATGGTTATCGACAGGATCTTCCTATGGGTTTTTGTGCTCGTGTGCATCCTAGGAACAGCTGGCCTTTTCCTCCAGCCTCTATTACTTGGGGAAGATATTTGATTCAGTTTGACAAAACTAATACTAATACTGCAGACTGCTGAATTCCGAGCATATGTTTCACAGATGCTTAGAAAAAGTTTCAAAGCCAAGTCGAAATCATGACAAATGTTGATGGTATTTCAGTAGAAGTGTTTCGTTTTGTTCATAGATTCATAAATCCTAAGGACATGGCTGCATTTAGGGTGATTTTAACCGAAAATGTTTAAGTGTCTTTAAAAATGCTAAAATGTTTCCCAAAGCCAAAGCCAACACAGACTCAGATACTCTGATCATTCAACAGGTAAGCTTCACTAGAAGTGAAGACTGGGGCACATTATTACATGAAAATGACATAACCTTTCTATAGCTGTGATATTTTGCAGGCTGTTTTACTTAATAGTCTCACTAAAGTGATGTATAATATCATGTGTGACAGACTTCTGTGGTTGTGTATCCTTCTGTATTTATCTTCTGTATGTAGTTAAGCTCTGCTAATGTTTGTGACTATTATAAAACCAGCTACAAGAAGTCAAGACAAGCCAAATGGCTTTATAACTTGTGGAATGCTTCAGTCTCAGAATGAGACTTGAATGGGATGCAGCACTTCATAAGGTACTGTCTACAGAACTGTTTTGCAATCGACCTGTGATTTTTGTTTGGATTGATAAATAGTGAGTAATTATACCTGAAATATGTCTATATAGATAGACATATTTCAGGTACTTGCTTTGAGCTTTTTAACAATAAAAATCAATTTTAAACAAACCTTTTTTTTTTACTTCATACAAAGGTTAGTACAGTAGAGTGGGAGGGGAAAAAATCTAATTCACCACTGTGGCAGTATACTTGGAATAATTGTCATCAATATTGGGTAAAACCATTTGCAGGGTATCACATATAAGATGGTCTTCCTAGCGTGATGGTCCAGGGTCACCTGGCACAAGACGATAGTGGGAGTTGAGCCACCTGAGAAGAGATCTCAAAACTTCCCTGTAGGTAGCCGACAGTTGGTGTTGTAAGCCACCCCCGGTGTTGTGGGCCTCTTTCACTGCTCTTTCAGACCATCTGTCTTCTCTGTCCAAAAATTTGAACATTGGCTGGGTTTGAAGTGCACCGGGATGACGTGCTCGGGAAAAACAAAACAAAACAAAACACCTCCTCAGTTTCTCCGACAAAGCTGCTATATAAGGGATGACAATGTTGTTCTGTTTGTCATTCTGTTTCTCCCTAGTTGGTGTCCGACATTCTTTCCTGTGTATCTTTGCTGATTTAATGAAAGCCCAGTCAGGATAACTACATGTTTTAAGATAAGGGGCAGGTGCCACTGGGGTTTAAATGCCTGGGACTCTCCACCATTTAAAGAAAGATTGTAGGCTAATTCTTACTTCTTTCTTAAAGTAAGTATATCAGATCAGGCCACAGAAAATTCTAAGTTGGGTTCTTTATGCTTCCAGATATCACATCGAACTGTCAAACATTATAAAATTTAATGGAGATGTTCAGGTTTGAAAATCAAGCAGTGCAGTCTGTGTTTAAAGACTGCCACCCTGTGGTAAATCTTTGTTACTACAAATTACTTCCTGTTCGTTTTATAAAGGGATATGCAGCCCAGTTTGTTCTGATTGTTGCTATAAAATATCTTTATTTGATCACACATCTGAAGTCACTACAAACAGCTGCTGCTTACCTTTAAAATGATTGCTATTCAGAAAGTGTAAAACCTATGAAAATGTCATTTATGAATTGTGAGGATACTGGAACCATATGACCACACCATACACACACACATACAAACACCAGTGTTAGGACTAACGCGTTATTAAGTAACGCGTTACAGTAACTACGTTATTATTGTGGTAACGAGCAC